CCCTTTCCTAACAAAACAGTAGCTACGCAATTATACTTTCTGTCTACGTATCTGTCAATTCTCCTTTATAACTTTTGAACCTGATGGCCAATTTGAAGCAAATTGTTCAGAAGTCTCAAAGATACTAAATTATCGCAAGTGCCTTTTTTAAATCAGTTGTTGTGCAGAAGACAGGGAACTTTTAAATGACCTCATTACAGAGAAAGCTACGAGAGCTCGTCCCCTAATTGAATTGCTGGATTGCCAATCAGCAAGTACACGGCTCTAGACAAGCTACACAGTATGTTGTCTCTTGTTTAGAGGAAGAAGTTGGAGAAATGGAAGGGTACCTAGCTACTTCAAGTGGGCTTGGAGACATAGGAAGAGGTGAGAAACCTGTGTATGAGCTGGTCGTATTAAAACGGATAGCTCGAAGGGGGTTGTAGCAGAGGAGAGGAAGGCAAATCTGTAGGATGCCTCTGTTCACAGAGCAGCCTGGATTTCTCTGGGTCTTATCCCTTCAGATTCCCTGGGAAATACAATGATGAACAAATGAGCACGGGGCCTGAAATGACAATTTCAGGATTTCTCTGGAATGAAGCAGTACTTCCCAAGCTGTGATCCCTTTCCAAATGCACAACACTATCTACTTCTCTCTCAGGTTCACAACCCTGCTTGGTGCTGTGTCTTTAGTTTGAGAATGATAGCTCTAGAGCCTACAGTAAGAATAGGTCACCTATAATCATTATGAATTTCTCTTTGGACTCTATTCAGTTCCTACTGAGCTGGATAAAAGATGGTAACAGATCCTGCAAATACAGCCTTTCATATTTTGAGCCCAGATTCCCAGTGCAATAGAAAGGGAGCAGAAAGGAAGAGGACGATGCAGAACCAGCTTAATATGCCCTCCGGAGGCTCACTAAGCTCCCAGATAAGCCAACGCTTTGTCCGTAAGTTGCTATTTTCTTTCAACTTCCTAATAACAGCTGAAATAAAGAGTTATAGTAGTCCATCCTGGAGCTGACTAAGATTATTAGGAACATTTATCACTAAGAATGGCACTCGCTTAAAGATGGATGATGGCAGCAGGCCACCAAAGTACTACCAAAAGCTGATAGACAAATATTCTAATGAACTGTTGCTCTCCTGACAGTGCTGATAGCATCATGAAGGGTGTGACATATTTTGAGGGCTCATAATTGTCTGCACACATTTCACAGAACAACTAAACAACTTTTTGAGGAAGATGCGCTCTAGCCACAAATGTTTTGAAGGTTTCCTGAGAATCTCTCATGAACAACTGCCAGTGCAAGTTTTGAACTGGGCAGCATATCAATAGAGCTGCATTTGTTCCAGCACTTAAAATGACTTTCATTGCAATAATTGTGGTATCAAATATTCCTTTATTCTCTTTCAGAAGTTTCAACCTGTTGCTAATTTGCCTTCAAGGACCACTTCATGTCGTTCATACAGGGTTAGACCACATTTGTGATATCCGATCCCTGTATTCAGGCACAATTTATTCCTTCCACAATCAGGATGCTTTGTTAGGAGATGCCAGCCAACATAACCACAGGTATCCAAAGAAGCCTGACATCAGAGAGTCAAAGTTTGCTCCTCTCCTTCCCTTTTCTTATCATGCTTGAAGGCTCCCCTTTCTTTTTTAGCCTTTTTTTTCAGCCTTTGCTAAGCTTTCAATTGTATAGCTTCAGTGCTTTCTAGTGTCATGGCACTCTTAGGCTCAGTTGGGGCTGAGACTGAAATACCCCCAAGAACAGAAATATCCACACTGGCAGGGTCTGCACCTAACACCCTGTAGCTCAGGCTGATTGGGTGCACTGACGCAAAGAGGATGACCAAGTGAAAACTCCTCTGTTCAAATTTCTTGCTTTTATCGAAAACGTCAATAATAAGAAATGTTTAACACATTCGGTAGAATTACAGCTAAATACCGTTCTTCCCCTCTCTCTCCTTTCACCATAGTTATCCCACACACAATCTAAAGACAGCAGTAGGGATTAAACGTTAAGTCAGCGGAGGATGGCAGTCTTACTATTCAATGTTCTCCTCACCCCTTCTGGAAAATCACTATCCATCCTCAATGCCGCTCATGAATAAAGCGAAAACAACCAAATACAAATCTTGCTATGAACAGCTCTGCAAGTAGTTGATTTTATTTCACCTGTGAAAGTTAGGCCTGTCTGCTTCTTACCTCCAGCCATAAAGGGACAAAAATGTAAGTTATCCATAAAATGTCACATATCCATAAAATGTCACATTTACCTACTAAGAACCCATACCTATTTGTAGAAGAGTGACTTATAAGAACGGCTACCAGTAGGATGAGGATTTTGAGAGCTTAAGTTGAAGATCGCAAAAGGAAGAGAGGAAAAACAGAGAAATCAAGATAGTAACTGAAAGATGCCTAACTATTTCTAAATGAGAATATAGAGTATCAGAAGGAACCAAGAAACCAAATTGCTAAGGTACCTTGAAAGATCAGAGAACAAAATACCAGGCAGGTGAATATTCCGAATACATCAAGACAAGGTAAATAAAGATATTATGTGGGCATAGCTGATTTCATAGAGATGCTGGGAACAGATACATTTGAAATTTCTGAACACAATACTATGTCATGCTCCCGAGAGGTCCATTCATCTGAGTTGTATACTGTGCTGTTCTTGGTGTGAAGAACCATGTTCTAAAGAGCGAAGTAATCTCCCATCTAACACACAAAAGTGGCTTTTATGCAGACTGTGATTCTTTTGTACTACATGTTTCTCCCCATTAAGTTTCTCTCCAAATGCGGAGCTCAATACACAACACAGTAGTAAGTCCTGAATTGATAATTTTCCATGGAGATTAGACTTTCTGTTGCTCTGACGATACTAGGCTTCAGAATTAGACGGGCTGGTTTGAGCAAGTGGATTTCCTATGGACTGCTGCTGAATGGCACTGCAGAGAGGCACAATGATATTAGCGTAACTTCACTGGATAGAGGCTCTCTTTTTGTTCAGCTTCCTGTTCCTGCCTACAGCTTTTAGGAATTACTATAATACAATAATCAGTAACATTATTTAACATTTCCCAGAATGTATTTCTGAGAATTATACGTATTTTATGCAAGACTCTACAAGGATTATAAAAAAATACAGAAAAAACATATGGAATCACTGTTATATACTGTTCTTGTAGCTCCCAGAGACCCTTGACAGGTAAAAGAATGTATTTTACTAAGCGTTATATAAAAGCAGAACAAAGGGAGTCCCTCACTTGACTTGACTTGACACAATAATATGCATTAACAGACTTACTACTGTTTCAAGTTCTCTCCAGAACTCCTGGTAGGTAAACGTGTGTGACGCTAGTTTACAAATGATGCTAACTATCTTTGTGACAGTCAGAAAATTAGAAAGAGGTTTTATCATTATTCCCCCCGTGATGAATTTCAGAATTACCCTGACTAGGATAAACCGCAATGAACAAATGTATATGGGTTTGCAGAGTGTGGGACTCAGATAAAGGTCAAATTCTCTTTCTTGATCTAGGAAAGAACTCCTGAAATGGTCTGAAGCTGGGACAGCCAGCTATGTCAGTGCTGGCCGAGGTCAGGCAAAGGCAAAGCCAAATTACTATGTGGCACCATCCATCTGCAGAAGCAGTTCTCCCTGGAGTACAATAACCAACGGAAGCTCTTGCTAGAGCAGCTCATCCCAGCTTGACTCTATCCTTACACAGTCATTTTTAGACTCAATGAGACACAAAGCTTAATGCTACTTTTGCTTTAGTCCCCAAGAGCTGAGCATTACGCTGGTGAAGCTAAAGAAGGGGGAGATGCCTTCTCACGGCACCACATATCATTAAGAGATAATCTTATTACTCCCAAGCGGATCAAAGCTAAGTTACTGTAAGATTTTTTTAAGCATATTTAATGTACAAAGTAAACTGACTCCTAATAAAACTATTAATTTTGAGTTGAAACCAAATTACTTTGGCTCAGGGTGGATAAGTCACTGGTAAACAGTGCAATTTCTGTACAAAAATAAAAAGGGTTCTACCATTGTTATGGATTTGCTCCAGGAACTCTGTGCTGAAGCACAGAAGCAGTATCAGATCACTTATTTGGGTAATACAAAACATGAATGGCAGACAGGGAGAAGATAATGAAACATATCCTTCAAATAGTAACACTAGAGAGAATTTGGATGGAATAACAATGCTTAGCACTCATAAAACTTTGTAGCTTTACTGTCTTTTTGGTAAAACATATATACCGTATTAAAACAAATCACAGAACATTCACTGGCAGCCACATTTTCTAGCATGTTCTGTAACACAAAAGATGAAAAGATCATCTTTCCCGTCTGTCTGGATTTAAATGACTTACATTTGATGAATAATTTTTAAAACATCAGCGTGCCAATGGTAATATGAATGATCATAATTTTCAGATGTTTTTAATTTGCAGTTGGGAGATAAAAATACACAAACCCATTTCAGTATTTTTTACATGCAGATAAAAAATGTGCTGCTTCTACTGATTATCACATTGATTTAGGATAGAGGTGTTCATGTATCATTACATAATTTTATTTAATGTTTGTTATGTCTATGGGTAAGATGTCTTATTCCACTTAATATGTTACATCTGCCTGAAGGCCAGAGTGGATTTGATAACAAAAAAATGTTCTGCCTAATACATTGTTAGTAATGGCTCCGTTTCCCTATTTCCCCTTAGAATCTGAACACGAAAATAAGTCTACATTTCTTTAAAGCATGCAGGCAGCTGAAACACACATATTTGCATAAGTTGCAACACTTAGTGAATGGCAAAAGCCATGCAAACCACTGAGCATGAGGAATACACTGAGGATAATGGAGAGGAAAAACGGAAGAGATGAAAAGGAGAAACAAACCATGCATCCATGAAAGCAATGGTAGGCACTGGTGGAAGAATAAGTGAGCACCTCAAGGTGTAGAGAAAAAAAAGGACAGATACCTACCCCAACCTGCGCTATCTAGCTACCGACCTGTGGACTTATAGTATCACCAGTTGGCTCACCAAATGGATCACTGTTGGATGAGGCCTGAGACCCATCAGGCTAGAATACAAGAACATAACACCTTTTTTTCTCAACAATAAGAAAGTGAAAAGTCAACATGAGGTTATTTTCATGCTGTGGGCATAGCAAGTACATCCTATCTCATGAAAACCAGAAAGTGAGACCTCACCGTTGATACGGTCTCAAAAGCCATGATGATTTCCTATGGCTGATGCAGGCAGGAGAGGACCTCACCAGTACCTGCTGGAGCCCATGCAGGAGCTGCCACAGACTTCAGAAGGTACTAGATCAGACCAACCAGAACTGCAAAAGGCCCTGAGAGCCAGTGAATCTATGTGAATCAGAAAGAGTCCAAGTTTGTGTTACTTTGTACCTTTGAGTCCTTTTTTTGTACAGACTCCCTCTTGCCTTTGGCTCACTTAGGCTCTTATCTGCCTAAGATACCTTGTGATTTAAAGTCATTGCTTGGATAACATTTCTTGCTTTGGTCCACTAAGTCTAAGGCAAAGAAATCACATACTGAGGGCCAGAATATCGAGGAATGTAACTAGGCAAGCAACTGGGATGCAAGAATGTGCAAGACAACATCAACCATCATCTTTTAACACAAACTCTCACATCTCTTTCTGCAGCCTCAGCATGTATGTTGTTTTACCTTGCACCTCCTTACCATCAGTAAGTGAATGCTGGTATGATAAAAAGGACATTGGATACAACTAACGTATATAACCTTACATATGAGCTACCAGTTTGGTTCCTTGTATGCAATATCAGTGCTTATCAACAGAAATGTCATGCTATTAGCTAACAAAACCAAAGCAGGAAGTGAATTCTGTCTGCAGCTCCCCCCTAAATACCACCCAGCCCTGTTAGAATAGTTATTTTTGACACTGCCAAACAACATTTAAGCAACTTCTGTCTTTTCTAGCTAAAAAGAGCTACTCAGTATTTAGAAACCTTGTTGCTACTCACAGCCTCTTGCTCCTCACTTTTGCTTGGGCTTTCAAACCCCTCTTCAAAGAGGTCATCTGCAGCAGGATCACTGGTATGAGATGCTGATGATTTTGATGGAGAACTCTGTCTGGGTGCAGGGGTTGGAGCTAAACAAAGATTAAGGTAACAGCAACAGAACATATATCTGTTAATTTGTTCAGAAAGACACAGCAGCACAAAATTTGCTCATGCTTTAGAGCCCTCAACTTTTACTACCCCTGAAAATTATTTTCTGATGAGGAGCTGTAAGAGGTAAATTTGAACACAGTAGTCATTATCAATTCCATATATTTGATTTCATTCAGCAGTTTCCAAATTGAGTTTGGCTGCATCTGGCGTATGTCTTTAGGAACCAGGGAGACGCCACTACATTACATTAAGAATGCATGAGTTGCCTGCCCTATGGCAGGTAAGTGAAACAGCTGGCCCCTGGTAAATCTGTGTCTCATGAATTCCTCTTTTCAGCAATCTGCAAAATCCCCCATCTCCACACTACAAACACGATAAGCTTATTTTACAGCTCTTCAATGAATTTCCTCACATGTCCAATACATCAAGCTATTAAAATAAATACCGATCCCCTAATTTCTGCAAAGTATAGTTTGAATGGGACATAAGTGAAACCATTTGTTAAGGTTGAATGTTATGGGCATTTTCCAACCAGCTTGCATGTCCCTAGCACATAACATATATTACTGTCTTCTTAGAAATTAAATTTCAGACTGCAGCCATCAGGGCTGTTGATTTCAATGGTCTCTGAAATTTCTCTCTGATACCTTTCGTAGAATCATAGAATAGAATCATAGAATAGTTTGGGTTGGAAGGGACCTTTAAAGGTCATCTAGTCCAACCCCCCTGCCATGGCAAGGGATCATCTTCAATTAGATGAGGTTGCTCAGAGCCCCGTCCAACCCGACCTTGAACGTTTCCAGGGATGGGGCATCTACCACCTCTCTGGGCAACCTGGGCCAGTGTTTCACCACCCTCATTGTAAAACATTTCTTCCTTATATCTAGTATAAATCTACCCTCTTTCAGTTTAAAACCATTCCCCCTTGTCCTGTCACAACAGGCCCCGCTAAAAAGTTTGTCCCCATCTTTCTTAAAAGCCCCCTTTAAGTACCAAAAGGCTGCAATAAGGCTTCCCCTTTAAGGTTTTCCTTATGGCTGGAACACATTTAATATGCTAGACCATGCATAAAGATTCTCAGTCCATACCTGTGTTGCAATTTACTGTATGAAAAAAAAAAAATGCTTTGAGGAGCCGTCATGTCTGAGGAAAGATATGGCTGAAAGCATATAAATACTCACGTGAATTTGTAGATGGTGTCGTGGAAGTCACAGGAGTCAAATTTAACTGAGAGATGTCAAAGTCATCACAATCATCTGCTTCCTGTGCCATCCCAACTTTGTTAAAGTAACTTGAGAAGGCCTCTGAGGTACAACTGAGGGAAGGCTGATCTGGTTTTCTTGATGGCACTGGTGGAGGCTGAGCCATCTGGAAATCTTTAAATATTTCTTTTCCCATTTTCTGTCTGGGCCTGTCTGTCTGTGGACTCGATCTGTTGGAATCACTTGTGGGTGGAACAGTAGCTATAGGAGCAATGGTACCTTGAAACATGGCTGCTTGTAAAGGCAAAACAGTTTGTGTTGGCATGAAGGCAGTTGGTTGGAACTGACCAGCTACAGATGGCCACGGTTGCTGAGTAGGAGGAAAAATACCAGGTTGGCCCCATGCTATCGGCTGTCCTCCCTGCATCACCTGAGCAACTGGAGGCTGAGCACCCATGGCCAACTGCTGTTGAACAAGTGGTTGCTGTCCCCAGAATGAGGGCAGAACAGCTCCCATGGCAACATAACCTTCAAAGAATAAAGACAGCAAGGGGGGGGAAAAAAAAGATGAAAGATTTTAACACTACTGTCAAGAGCATGCAGAAAAAGCTACACAATAAATCAGAAACATGCAGGCTGCATTAGTGTTCCCAAAGCTTCAGCACACTTAAAAAGAAAACTGAAAGACATGGTTGAATTCACATCACTGAACAAATACTTGTATACAAAACCACAAATAGATGCATATTGGCAATAATCCTTCCCCTCATCTGAACAAAAAAGTTCTTCTCTTCCTCAGTGAGTACCCCCTTGGGTCTGTGAAGACCTGTGTGCATGGACCTTGTTGGCAGCCGGCCATCTGGCAGCTCCCTTCCCTGGGGCTCTGTCAAAGCACAGCTGGGATCAGTTTGGTCAAACCACTTACCAGAACCACAGGAGCTCCAAAACATTCCCTAAAGTCACTCCCTTGCAGCACAACCCTGCTCCTCACCACTGAGCTCTGCAGGCTCTTCTTGCTACCCTGATTCCCCCCATCCTCCGCCTGTCCCATTCCTCTCGGGGCAGGGATCTCTGGGACTGAACATGATGCACTGGGTCAGGCTGGGATGGAGTTCATCTTTTCAGAGCAGCCCATATGCAGCTAAAAAATGAGCTGCCGGAGCAAGCAGAGGGAGGGAAGAGGATGCCCAGGACTCCTGCCCCTCTGCGTAGCTTTGCTGCAGTTCCTCATCCTTTTTGCTTTTGTTCTTTGTTGGGGAGAGTGCCTCGAACACCAGCCAACTCCTGCCAATGGCATAGCGACAAAACTGGTTCGAAGTTACAGACGAGCACCTTCATGTATGTTAGATAATAGCGCAAGGGCCCTCTAACTAACAGTGCGACCTTCTTGCAAGAGAAAGACTCTGTGCCATCTCTTCTGACACAGTCACAGTTCAAACTGTTGGGACACGGAAGAGCAAAGCAAGTGTCTCAAACTGCATAATAAAAAGACAGAGCCCAGATGAATTCAGATTAAAACCCCCCACATTTGGTTATTACCCTGTTACTTGAGAACAACAAAAAGGTCCTGAGCTTCTCCTGTACTACATACCTCATAACAACAAAGTGCTTCACGTATTATGCTAGCATAAAACCTCTCTAGTTGGGGAGGAAATTAAAGATTAAAACTAAAATTATAATTGCTTCCTGTCCTGAACCCTTTTTTCATGCTACCAAGAGTTTGACTGTATAGAACTTATATGATCAGGTGCTTTGCTATTTACAATGAAAAAAAAAAAATCTGAAACTAAAACTACTGTAAAAAATGTTACAAATTAAACCATGTAATACAATTATGTTCCACTGATAGAAGTATTATGCTTTATAGATATGCTGTTTCACATTTAAATTAATGATTTACTGCTAATACTTCACAATACGCAACCCCTCTTTTATTTCTGATACTGTCATAGCTTTAAAACTCCTGTTTCTAACCCGAGTGTTTTTCTAAGTCCTTCCGTGCCTTTTCCCCTTTGCTTTATTTCTAGGCTGTTTTGTAATGCTAAATCAAGGGTGGCTGCAAAATCGTAAAGGGAAAAGCCCAAAATAAAAATAAAATAGAAACAGAACTTTGAAAGACTAAATTAATGAGTGATGAAAGAACAGTAACTTAGATATATATCTATTTCAATAGATGGCTATGATGGATTCTCCAGATGTCCTTTTATCTTGCCCCCTCTGTAACCTCATCCAAGCAGCGAGGGTTTTCATCTGACATTATCCCCAAACACTTCACCATCAGTGTAACCTTTCTGAGATGCCGTGGCTAATCTGATGCTGCAATGCAGCCCATCAGAGAAGGAGTTAACCAATTAGAAAGTCACTGTTGAATGATTCAGGGCACTCCTCCTCCTTTTTTTTTTCCCCCTAAGTGGAGCTGAGAGCGCTGCTCTTGGCAGTGCTCCGAGTATCCCAGGGAGAGATCAGCAGTCAAAACCACATGCCTTGCATGTCTGCAGAATGCTACACAGCTTTTGAATTTTGAGCACTTTGAGGAACACAGAAAAGTCTAAAGGAAGTATAAGGATTTGACTAAGTGGAATACCTTTGAAATGCAATCAAATTCTCCATGTCTCATTCTCTATTTACTGGAGACAGCACAGGATATTCATTGCTACCGCAAAGAAAGAAAAGCTAAACTAAATGCTTTTTTCCCTCTTGCTCCTGTACCTAGAAGGTATGTTATCCAGATGGCTGAACTATGGTTGAACTCCCAGTGACTTTTTTGGCTTTTGTTCTAAAAAATGTGGGTAAATTCAAAATAATGTACTCCCAGCTTGTTAAAGACTTGTTTTGCCTTGCCCTGCAGCACTGTCCTCAAAATCCTTCCCCACTTCCACTACACTAAATTAACACCCTGAGGACTGAAATGCAAACCAGTGTTGAGAACTGATCACCAAATTTGAGTCAAGCTCATATTTCCCCCGATTTCTTACCTGAGGGTACGGCAGCAGTGCTGAAAGGTACAGAACCAAACATGTCTGTACTAGCAGGAAGTGACTGGGATGAAGATGGGATAAAGGCATCACCTGGAGTAGCAGGAGTCTGCAAGAAAACGGGAATAAAAGACAACGATGACATATCAGCTGCAGCTTCTGCAGCACGTACTTTGCTGTCACATCATCCGTAACTCAAAAAATACAGGTTTGGAGGGGAGAAAGAAAAAAGAATGGAAAGACGTAGAAGGAAAGAAGCAATAGAAATAACAGTATTAGAATTTGCTGGAGACAGGAGAAAAAGAAAGAAAATGAGAGACTTTGTACCAGAGGGAAAAATAAAAATAAAATTTGCCTGGAATACATGACATGCAAAATATTGACATCATTTCTTTCTCCAGAACATACAGACTTGTGATTCTAGGTGTTAGGTGATAATCAGTAGAGGCAGAAGACCAAGGCATTAATGTAAGAAACAGTAAAGGCAAATTAAATATCTGCAGGATTTATGGAAAAGTGAATACATCTTGCTTCCAATTAAACAACAGGACCAGAATCATAGGTCTACATTAAAGGAGAAATCCAATCTAATTGAGCAAGATTAGGATGAGGAGACAGGACTTTGAACATCTAGTCCCAGACATGCTCCAGAATATCCTGGAGATCTGAGGCTGATGACTTCACAGCACCTCAATTTTCCCAGTATACTCATTCTCCCCTACAGCTTAAAGTAAGGTTCAAAAACTTTACAGGAAAACGATTGGTTTTTTCATTTTATGATGCAGAAAAGCGTGTTGAGAAAATTTTCTTTGCCCTTGGAACACATTCAGCTCTCTCTCTCTCCTGTTTTGTCTTCCTTCCTTTAACGGCAGTTCTGGGATATGTGCTTGGTGGAACCAAGCAGACATGATATATACGGCTGTAACTGGATCTTCCTGCAGTGCAGTGGAGAGACAGAGTGCAGTGAAGCATGCACCTCTGATAAACACCAGGGGAGGAGATCTGCAGCTCAGGTTATATCTTATGTGACACCTAGCTCTATATCAGAAAAATAAAAATTGAAGATATTTTTGCACATCATCATGAAGCAGTGACTCTACATTCAATTTGCTTCACTTTTATTTTCTCACAACATAAAAACAACTTTGAAATCCTCCCTACCGGAATGGCTGATGACCTGAATTGTAAATGTGCTCAATAAATGCGCTGAAAATAGCATGTAGAAAAACACACAGTTCAGTTTCCCTGGATACTCACTGGGGGAGAGGTTACATCAGGAGGAGTGGACATGTCCCCAAAAAGCTCTAGTTGGGTAACAGCCTGTAAAGAGAGAAGAAAAAAAATTTCATTTATCTTTTGAGGAGAAGAAAGTGTGAGTTAACTAGTTACAACTTGTAAAGTTAACTAGTAACAGCTAGCAATACAAATCCCCCAAAAGCCATGTACGCTTCAAATGTCAAGTCCCATACGGAGGAAGCACATGGGTTCAAGCTGTGGGATTTTGTTATTACTGATGGACACAAATAGCTGGCAGCTGATCCTATAAAATGATTCTTTAGGGAATTCTCCACCATAAAAAAATGAATAAAGCATGAAAAAACTACCCAGAATGGGACTGGATGCATTACTGCTCTGCCCATAACATCAGTGAGCACCAAGCATGATTTATGGCCAGTCCTTTTCCCTGGCTCCTTTTCTAAACCCCCATTTCAAGGTCTTAAAACACAGCAGCAGACTGTGGAAATGACAGAAGGATACAGAAGGGAAGGGCTTTTAAAGTGCTGCCTGATTTCCCCTTGCCCATGGGACAGGTGTGACCTGGATAAGTGGACTTGAAGGAGGATGCACAACTGGGTTATTATAAGTTTGTAGCTCTACATTTAAATCATGCTAGAAATGTTTTCTCAGGGTGTCCTTCAGTTTGATCTCAAAACAGGTCACCCATACAGGTCTCACTCAACTGCACCAGAAGGGAAAAAGCACTTTCATAAGAAGGAGCACCTTGAATGGCTGCATAATCAAAGCTCCTTCACATGTTCAGGAGTAAAATGACTTTCTTTCACCTATCTGCATCTGCAAATCAGTTCATCTGGAGAGTAAAGCACGGATCCCTTATAGCTCTGCAGGAAGCCTAAAATCCACCCACTATCCTTACCAGGGTGACTATTCTGGAAAGCTGTGATGAGAACCCAAGAATTACTCCTTCTCCATTACCTCTCTTCTGCTTACTGGCTTGCTTTCTTCTCTGGATAATACTCAGTCAGACCCACACACGTGGGAGGGGAGATTTCTTGGTATGAATGAGATTTAAGACAAATCTTCATTCAGTTCATTGAATCTCCTCCCCAGCTTAGACAAATAAACCGTGCAGCCTTCTATCACACATATAGGCTTGAAATTCAGTTGAGTCTTGACCCGCCAACACATAGCGCTTTGGACATGAACCATACCGGCTGGTCAGTCTTTACAACCTAACAAAGCAGCAAGATTGCCCTAAGATTTTTTTTCCCCCCAACCTTCTATTGTAAGTGATCCTTTAAGAAATAAGACTATCATTCAAAATACAATAATTTCAAAGGTTTATACCTTTTTGCAATCCAATCTCTACTCCCATATTCAAAAGCAATGCTACAATCATTTAGACCTGGAATTTGTCTAGTAGCTTGGATGATTCTCAGCTTTATGTCTAATGATGTACCTAGGGATGAATTATTTCGCATTTCCACACATCATGTCTGATATTAAATAGATCACATCGCTTTTGTGATATGACAATATATTTTCTTCTTATGGCCTTAAATATCCCTCTAATTATCTGCGTGGAAATGGAAGAAGAAAGAAAGAAGAAAATCCATGTTTTCTTCAGGGTACACTGATTCTAGTGTACATTACTAAAACACTGCTAGAAGTAGCTTCAGCAAAAAAAAGCATCCATAATTCACTTCCGCAGTGTGTGCAAACACACTGGACAAGTATTGTTAAAATGCCCAGAAAAGTTGGAATAATGACAACAGCAGCACTAATTTGGAAATCCCTTCAAGCCTCCTGTAGGCACTACTGACTCAAGAGATGCCACATGACACCAAATTACTGAAAGAGCCACTTTCTTCTCATCTCTCCAAATTGCTTGTTCAGCACCACCCCTAAATCTGCCCTTTTCCTTCATGACTGGTGAGTTTTCCACTGTTTTCTCCTCTCTGGCTTGCAAAGAAATAGCATGTGTCCTTTCGAGGAGGCCATGAGCAAAGGCTCCCCCAGTGCTTCCATCCCAGGTGAGGAAGCAGAACAAGCCAGAGGGGATATGAAAGGGCAGGGCACATGTGGTTACACAGACTAAGAGGAAGAGTCTGTAAAGCTACACATTTTTTGTGGAAAAAATATTATATGTTTCATATCAACACTGAAAATTGATAGTATACTTTTGAACTCAGGATTATATGGTATGTATTTGAAAGATGGCAACTCAGATGTCTATGCTTCAATACTCCCATAAAATGGGAATAATAATACTTTTCAGAGTGCTTCAAGGTGATGGATCTTTGGAAACTCTTCACAGGTATAATTCTGTTAAAGCTCTTAAGAGAAACTCTGTGGATGGATTTCTAAACAGGCAGCTGGAGAGAGTGATAGGAAAGCCGACTTCACTATTTGTTGTAATAAACCCTCATTCACAATATTCCCCAAGGAAAAGGAATATATTTACAGCAGAATTATTTCTCACAGAATAGCAACCTTATATGCAACAGGAGCTATAGAACTATGTCAGAGGATGTAAATAGAAATTTAGTGGGAACACAACTTCACCGTTTACTTACTAGAGACAGTCTTAAACAGCAACACTTGGAGGTGGGATTTTAAAGTCCCAAATGGTCCAGCTCTAGCTTATTTCTAGCTTATTTCTACAACCCCATTCTCAGCCTGAATAAATGAATGCAACTTCTCTAACATAGACTTAGTTTTATCCACTTGCAGCATATGAGATTCTGGACAGCAAATAGTTATCTTTTATTTTTGTAATTTCACTGTCACTACAGAACTGATTTCACCCATTACGCTTTTTTAAATTATTCACATCTGATATTAGCTACGTTCCAGTGAAGTTAATCCCAAGCCGAACATTTTCAAATTGCACTATTCCTATAGATGATTTCATCTATATTTCCTTAAAACATTTTTAGTGTCACAACCTTACCTGAGTGACTGAAACAAGATTTTCATCAATGTCCAGCAATAAGTTTCCATTCTGCAGCTGTAAAGCATGATTTATGAAATGAAATGAATGATTTATGAAAATGACATGAATTTCTGAGCATGAAAATGATAACCTCCACAATTATTGACTTCAGTTTTGAAATGAAAACCCTTTCCATCTTGCAGTGAGCACAGATATGAAATCAAGCAGTCAAAACAGTGAGTTTGAATGCTGTTCGGATGTGGGGCAAACATCCACTTTATTTGTGCTAAATCTCATCTTCTGGTGTATAAGGCAATTTTACCGCTTGCATCACAACTATTTATTTTCCCATATATTTATTAGTTCAGCAATAAGAATACCCAGTGAGCTCTGATCCTGCTTACATTAATGGAACTGTTCACTGGCTTCGTGAAAGAAAGGGCTTAACATCCTCAGGGGAAAAAAAAATTGAGTTTTGGACAACAAAAGCTCTAAAAGCAAATATTTGCAGAAAAACACAGCTTCCTCTTAACTAAGAGAACTGTAACATGAATGTAAACATATTTAAGATGAATATTTTCTTTCCATAGTAACTTTTAAAATTACTTACATAAGTCAATTCAAGTTATATTTAAATCTATAGTTTGTGTGTTTGTAAATACATGTGGGAGTTTACTGCTATCCATACTATATCCATCTACATATTTAACACAAATTATCACTTCGGTGTCCTAGAATGCTAAATTTCAGATAACATTTATTGTAATGTTGGAGATCTTATTTCTTAAGAAACAAACATAACAGCAAGTTATTGAAAATCAAATCTTAGATCACTGAGAAGCTTCATACAAGTTACCAGCCAATAATCCCATGCCATCTTAAAACAAAGAAGTATTAAAATCTCAGAAACAGTCTATAATGCTTTTTCCCCCCTCTCATCTCATCACAGACCTGAAGAAAAAAAAAGACAGGCAAAAGGCAAAGCTAAAGGAAGAAAATGCCATCGAGCACAACCAGGAAAGGACACAGTCCTGCACCTTCTTGGAGCTGACAGCGTGCTCCCCCAGCCCCAGATAAGGAAAGTGTGAAAAAAGCTGTTTCCATTTATTCAAAGAACTCCACGGACTCCTTAAAATGAACCAGAAGGGTTTACACCTTCAAGAGGGCCCAGTTTTGGCCAGCAGTTAATCACTTTTTGTTCTGACAGCCCCCTGGTCCAACCCCCCATCCTCCAGCACCCAGGGATGCAGCTCGCGTCTCTCGAAGCGGATCCTGCCCCCAGCCACACTGAGCTCTCTGTGAAACCAGCTGAGAAATAACCATGTCTCAGCACAGAGGAAACATGTGCGCAGCGTTCAACGGACCATTAGAAATTCCCACCTGTGCTACAGCGGGACCTTGCAGAAAACATTTGCCCAACATGTCACGGCACATCCCCAAGTGCCCAATTATCATGTAGCACTTGAGCCGCATCTTCCATTAGCTCGTGTTCTGCATCACACGCTGGTGAGGAGACACTTCCTAAGGGTGAAATATCCCTGTCTATTAGAGCATGGAACAGCCTGCAACGGCGACCGTGCCGAGGCTGCAACATGGCTACCGAAGGCAGAATTTGGCCCTTCGAGCCTTCCTCCGGTTCGGCTTTTCGATACAAAGCGCTTAACCTTCGCAATTAAAGTCAACAATCCCCTCCCTCCTTCCCCAGTGCCCAACAGAAAATAACCAGAAGTCTGGAAAGATGCTCCAGTCCTTGATCTTTCTCTAGGAATGCTGTCTGTGGATCTCTCCTCAGAGCGATGTAAAAGCTTGCTTTAATTATTCAAAAATGCATCTCCTTGAATATGAAAACACCCCTACTACTTAGTCAACCAGGAACACACCAGTCACTTGTGACCAGCCGCGCAGACCGAGGCGGAGGAAAGAGTATTAATCCTTGTATCGCGGTGACATTAAACCTATAATGAAAGCTCCATCTTTCTATACAGGCATGTGAGACATATTGTAAATCTTTTAAACATGTAATATGTAAATCGGGCTTCTTCATGCAGCAGCAAGCTTTTTAAACCATTCCAGCCAGTAATGAAATTCCTCGTGACACTTTTCACTATTCACTAAAGAAAAACATATTATTCAAGAACTGGAGAAA